TTTTTAGTTGGTAATTTTTTGATGACCTGTTCAATTTCTTCTTTTGTGATGGGCCTGTTCAAATTTTTCACTTCAGTCTGTGTTAGTTTAGGTAGATCCTGAGTTCTTGCTTTTCACCACTGTGTTAGGCTGAGCTGCCCCTCAGTAAGGCTAAAAAAACAAAGTTGCTGTCAAGTCAACAACTCCAACTCTTGGTGACCCCATGTGTGTCAGAGTTGAACTTTGCTTCATAGGATTTTCAACAGCTGTGATCTTTCAGGTGTAGACTGTTAGCCTTTTCTTGGGGGCACTTTCTGGGTGGACTTAAACCACAAATCTTCTGGTTAGCAACCAAGTACATTATCTGTTTGTACCATCAGGAACTCTTCATTAAGTTTATTTGGCTTTAAATCAATTTTTCAGCCTTCTGCTCAGAAAACTACATACCTAGAAATTTGGAGGGGGGACCCTGGAAGATTTAGAAACTCTTTGTTCTTCTTCATTCCTTTCTGTACATTCCTAGCCTGTAAAATGGAGGAGCAGGGCTAGACCAAGGATAACAAGGGGCCCATCAGTGAAAAAAAACTTGTGTTTTCTAAGTTACGAGTATGGCTCTGCTCATGAATTTAATGGCACAAAGTGCCTTATGGGAGTGGATTGCAGGTGAATATAACCTGTTACTCCTTTGGTTCTCGCATTAAGGAATCACAGTTGTGGGTGGGGAGGGCCTACAGGATGAGAGTGGGACAGTACAGTGCAGAGAGAGTGGGCTTTACTTTATAGTCACAGACTGTGTTTCTTCATTACAGATGTGAAGACCACTGTGGTTTACCCTGCCACAGAGAAACACCTGCAGAAGTACTTGCGCCAGGACCTCCGGCTAATCAGAGAGACAGGAGATGATTACAAGAACATAACTTTGCCCCACCTGGAGTCCCAGAGCCTCAGTATCCAGGTACCTGGCTGTCCCAGGGAAGCCAGACATGGTGGTGGTGATGGTAGGGGAGGGGCAGCTGTGACCATTTTCAGCTTATCCTTTTACAAGTCCTGTGGAGAGGTTACCAATGCCCAGGCAGTAAGGCTGCAGCAGAGAACAAAGTAGACAAGGTCCTACCTTTATGGTGCTTCCTTGTGCTGGGGTCAGACAGTGCACAGTTATATAAGTAAGTATATACTATGTAAGGTGTCAGTGCTGGGGAGAAATGTGAACAAGGTAAGTGGGAAAGAAAGTCCTGGGGTGGGATGCTGCTGTTTGATATTGGGTGGCCAGAGGCTTCATTGATAATGGGAGTTGACCTTAGTCTTGGGCCCCAAGGTGCTCAGACTTGCCAAGAAGGCTTTCTGAGGAATCTCAGAGCAATCTAATTCATAGTAAGAATTTGTACCTAACAATTGTTACTGTTAGCAGTTGACCCCAACTCATGGCAACTCCATGCACAGTAGATCCACCCAGTCCTGTGCCCTCCTCACTGCTGGTTGCAGATTGGACTTTTGTGATCCTTGGGATTTTCGTTGGCTGATTTTTAGAAGTAGATCCCCAGGCCTTTCTTCCTATTCCATCTTAGTGTGGAAGCTCCACTGAAACCTGTTCAACACTATAGCAACATGTAAGCCTCCACTGACGGATGGATGATAGATATACATGAAGTGCATTGTGTATCTACAATATACCTGAGTTGGTCTCAGAATGACTGTGGCCTCTCCAGGGGTCTGGGAATGGGTAATATTGGTGCTGGGTTAGGTCTACCCAGTCCAGATTTGTTCCTTGCTTAACCTATAGCCAACCAGCTTCCAGGAGCTGAGTTTTTGAGTCAAATATTTCTCTACTATCACCATTCATTCCACAGAGAGCTGGACCTTTCTACCACTGTGGGCTTGGTGCTCATCCTCTTCTTCCAGGGGCCACATGTGCAGATTCTTCAGAGTGTCTTCAGCCCTGAGTCAGCTACAGGGCCATTTAGCCAAGAGGTCCTTATGTCTCTTTGGGCCCAGAGCCTCTGCCTGGAACTGATCCAGTGTGAATGTTGTTAGGTGCCATCAAGTTTGCTCTGACTCATAGTGACCCTGTGTACAACAGAACAAAACACTGCCCAGTCCTGCAGCATCCTCATAATCATTACCATGTTTGAGCCCATTGTTGCAGCTACTGTGTCAGTCCATCTCATTGAGGGTCTTCCTCTTTTTCACTTACCCAGTACTTTACCTAGCATAGTGTCTTTCTTCAGAGATTGGTCTCTCCTGATAACATGTCTAAAGTACATAAGATGAAGTCTTGCCATCTTCATTTCCAAAGAGCATTCCACCTGTACTTTTTCCAAGACAGACTTGCTCATTCTTCTGGCAGTCCATGGTACATTCAGTCTTCTTCACCAATACCATAATTCAAATGCATCAATTCATTGTGAATTCTCATAATTAATTATGATTGATACTTACTGATGAGTCTTTTTCTTGCTCACTCTCTGGTTCTTACTATCTCTATCTCCTTATAACTCGCTCTTTTTGAGTATTTCTCTCTTAGTTTCCCTAATACTCAGGTTATGATGGCAGAGTGTTCTCATAGGGAACTCATGGCCATTTCCTTTTGGCCCAGAACAAAGGAGGGTGCTCTGAGTGTGAGGGCACTTTGAGGTGAATTGTACTTGGGTGGGGTAAGGAAAGGGAGATTAATAGTGCATAAGGGAATACTTGGGAAACCCCACATGCTGACAGGCCCGTCTTCTAGCAGGTGATGCTCCGCCAAGTGGTTAGCCGTGGTCCCTTGTGCAGTATTTGCTTAAGATTCCTCGGGCTTTGGGGACAGTGATGACTTAGTGGTAGAATTCTTGTCTTCCATGCAGGAGACCTGGGTTCGGTTTCCAGACAATACACCTCATGCACAGCCACCGCCCATCTATCATTGGAGGCTTTCATGTGGCTGTGATGCTGAAGATGTTTCAGCAGAGCTTCCAGACTAAGATAGACTAGGAAGAAAGGCCTGGTAATCTACTTCTGAAAATTACCCAGTGAAAACCCTATGGATCATGTCAGTCTGATTTACAACCAATCATAGAGATGGTGCAGGATCAAGCAGCATTTGGTTCCATTGTGCATAGGGTCTGCATTAATCAGGGCCAACTCATTGGCTCAGTGGCAGCTAGCACCAACCATTTTTTAAAAAAAATCCCAACACTTTTTCTGCCCTCTGTCTTCCTAAATAGCTTCTGCTGTTCAGAGTCCTAGAAGAATCTCTTGGAGTATATGCTTTGTTGTGCTGGTTACACATATATGAGATCCAAGAGAGGAAGCCTTTAATATAGTTGGTGTGAATTGCACATACACCTTATTATACACCATTACACAATAATTCCACTACTCTTCATGCTAATTGACATGAGTAGTCACATTTTTTCTTAGCTAGTTCTATCAAGTTTACAAGCACTCAGGTCTACTGGCAACAGCTATTATTATTATTGAGCATTTGCTATGTGCCAGGCCCTGTGCTGGGCTCCAGAGAGTGACCAAGGTAAATGCAACATTGATAGTATCCTCATAATCTAGTAGGGAGGGTAGACATGTTGACTGACAGTACAATTGAGTTATGATGTGATTAACCACTTTGGTGGTGTTTCATACAGGGTATATACAAGGAGAGAGAGGTCAGCTCTGATGGTGGGGTTCTCCACAGAGGAGGGGATCCTCCAGATGAGTCTTGAGGGACAAATAGAAGTTTACCTGGTGGACAAGGTAGGGAGGGGTAGAACCTTCCAGGCAAAGGGAATAGCAAGTACAGAGGCACAGAAGGATGGGATCCTTTGATGCCTTTGGGGAGCTGCAGGGAGTTTGGTACAACCAGGGCATGGGTACTGAGGATGAGCAGGAGCTGACACTGTGAAGGCAGGCCAGGGCAGGAAAAGGGTTTGGGACTTTGTCCAAGAAGTCAGGAATTCCTGAACCTTGCTAATTATCAAGATTACTGAGTTAGATTTTTGAAAATACAGACCATGGGGTCACACTCCTTATCTGCTGATTAGAATCTTCTGGAGCTGATAAATCTGTATTACAAAATCTCTCTCATATTTCTAATGGTCATTGGGCATGTGGGTAGCATGATCAGACTATAGAATAAATTGGAATGGGGTGAAAGTGGCACAGGAAGACTGAACGCCAACACGGATCTGAACCAAGGCAGAGGCAGTAGGGAGGGATAAAGCAACAGTTTAAGAGGTAAGTCTTAATAGGGGTAGAAAGTGATGTCCATCATGCTCAATTGGCACAGTATAGTACATAAAAATCTTGTTCTACAACCTACTTTGATGAGTAGTGACTAGGGTCTTAAAAGTCTTCTAGTGGCCATCTATGATGCAACTATTGGTCTCCTCTCATCTGGAGCAAAGAATAGTGAAGAAAATCAAAGATATCTAGAAACAAGTATAAGATGGACCACAAGGACTTCAGCCTTCATGACCCCGAGACCAGAAGAACTAGATGGTGCTCAGCTACCAGTGTCAACTGCTTGGAAAGGGATCAAAACTGGAGATACTGGATAAAGTGGAAGGAAAAATGTGGAACAAAATTCAAAAACACAAAAATGACCAAAATTACTGATCTGATAGACACTGGTGGAACTTCTAAGACTATGGCCCCAGGTTACTCTTCAAACCTAGAAATGGACTCACTCCCATGGATTGGCTCTCAGCCCAGCAGTAGAAAGACCTACATGCAGAACACCTACCCTAGGGCTATGCACCCACCTACTCTAGGGAGGTGCACCCCATTAGATCAGTCAGCCATGAGACAGCAGAGGGGGAGCACTCACAAAGAGGGAAAATTGGACAGACAGGAATGCATAGATAAGAAGGGCACAGGGAGGGGGGAGTCATAAGGAGGGGAGGAGAGGAGATTTTTTTATGGCTGGTATGATAGTTGGGGTTGTGTGTCAACTTGGTTGGACCATGATTTTGAGTGGTTTAAGCAGTTGATGAGACTGGATATATATGGTTTGAGCAGCCGATCCATTGAAAGGGAGTTTCCCTAGGTGTGTGGCCTGCTTCCAATATATATATGGACATCCTGGGAAAATGAAAGACTCTTCCGTGGATTTGGATCATATTGTGCTGCCTACAACTGTCCATGAGCGAACAGTCCTCCATTCGGCCTGATAATCTTGGATTCATCATCCGCCAGAGTCAACAGTCAGTATACTGCCTGCCGACCTTGAGTTCAGCTTCTGCAGCTGCATGAGTCGGGAGGAGCGTCCTGTTTGATGTTTGATCCAGAAACTTGGGATTTGCCAGCTTCTATAAGTGTGTGTTTCTTTGCTATTCATAAGGTTTTCCCTGGCCAATTCTTTCAGAAGTGGATGGCCTCTTCCTTCTTCCTAGTCTGTCTCAGTCTATAAACTGGCTGTTACCTATGCACCAGGTGCATCTCGCTGGGTTTTAACACCAGAGGCTCAGCCTCAAAACTCACGTCTACATGTCACCACAGTAGGACAAACCGACAGACAAGTTTGTCCTGCTGTTGGAGACCTCTCGTATCCCCCCCACCTGGGTCAATGTGGCTGACTGTTCCTCTGTCTGGCTTCTTGTCTTTTAATCCTCTTTCTCCTGCTCTTCTGGCCTGCTTCTTTGGGCATCCCTGAGTTTCCCCTCCTCACCTAATCCCTTTGGCTGATTGCTCTTCTCTTTGGCTTCCTGGGTTTTACGCCTTTCTCCTGCTCTCCCGGCCTGCTACTCTGTGCTACGCCCGTGCTTACCTTGCTCCCGGAGACCCGATCCCTCTTGGGAGGGTAACAAGGGAAAGTGTTCAGTGCAGATCAGTGAGTAAGCACAAGCCCGCCCGTGCTTACCTCGCTCCCGGAGACTAAGCACAATCCCGCCCGTGCTTACCTAGCTCCCGGAGACCCGATCCCTCTTGGGAGGGTAACAAGGGAAAGTGTTCAGTGCAGATCAGTGAGTAAGCACAAGCCCGCCT